TCCATCTATGTATCCCTGGCACCTGGGAAGCAGTGGGAGCTGGTACTGCAATCAGGTCAGACCCAACATCCCTGATACAGAGTCATGCAGTTATCACCATGTCCTTCTTTGTAGCAGTGTGAGCTAGGCTGAACTTGGGGGTGGAGGCTGGGCCTCCAAACCTCAATCTGCTCCCAGGCCACTAGTCTCATGTACTGTTGTGGGTCTTGGCGCTAACTGTGAGGTGACCTTGTTGCTCTGCAAAGGACCTTGTCAAGTGCCCTACACTCTGGCTATGTTGCCCTTCTTTCCTGGGAACGTAACATAGAAGGGCACTTGGCCAAGGTCATCCAGCGATCCTGGCTCAAGTCACCCAGTGCACCCCAGGAGCTGTTCTGCTTCCTTCTTCCTGCACAGCAAGAGCACAGTGCAGTGCCAAAGGCCCAGTCAGGAGTTCATAGTCAGAGCTGGAACATGGGACTTCAGCCTGGGTGGGGGGGATCAGTAGCTAGAGACTAGGTCACATCAAATCTGGCTGCTATGGGGGCAGGGAATGCCTGCCAGGCATGTACTGGGCATGCTAGGGTGGGGGAGAGGCCTTTGGCGGCCACAGAGAACAAAGGGGTTGGAGTTGCCAGGATATTCTGTAGAGCTAAAGCCAGCGGTGATGAGGCTGTGAGAAATATGCCTGCTGCCCCCATGCCAGCACCCCATGCAGATTGGGCCTGGGGATGAAGGTGGGAGGTGAAAGGCCCCAGATCCCTGTGTTCTCCCCACCCCGGCATTACATAGCTGTTAGGGGTGGGAACAAGAGGTGCTGTGGATGGACACACAATGTGTGCACCCCCTAGGACCGTGTGTGCACACTGACACACATATGCCAAACAGCCCCAGCATTATACAGGCAGTTTGCAGGGTCACAACATGGTCACCACTTGTGACCATGCAGCATCTCTGATGTCAGTCTCAGGGCCACATCTAAGAAGGTCACATTCACATGACTGTTTCACCCCAGGGTCACACAGTATCATATATCAGTGCTCTATATCCAATGCCACATTAAATCACCCAGGGTGACACATTCAGTTGTATAGCTTAGAATCAGACTGGGCCTGCTACAGGCTCACACAAGTATCACAAAAAATCCCAATGACATCATATACAGATCCATGGCTATATGAGGTCTCATGGACATCATCACAAGCCTATTTTTATGTCATACCCAACAGTAGAAATAGTCACATTCCTGAACAAGGCCTGACAGAATTTTCTGGTCCTTGAAGACTCACTCTCTTCTCTCTCTCATACAAAGTATCCTTGCAGGGGCTGGACTTGACTTTAGCAGTGTGCTCAGCCCCTCTAACTCCCACGCTGCCACCCTCAGAGCTGGTTCTGAGTGCCATATCACTCAGGAGGGGTACAGGATGCCAGGTGAAGGCTCCTAAGCCACCAGGCCAAGCAACCCAACTGCACCCTGACTGGGAGGGAATGGGTCACCCCCACATCCCTTAGAAGCCACTATCCTTTGTCAGCAGGAGACAAAGATAAAGAGACATGAGGCAGATGCAGAGTGCCAAAGAGACTCAAAGGCACAGAAAGATGAAAACAGGTCACTGAAGAATTGGAGGGCATCAAGTCAGAGCAGCAGAACTAGCTAGAGGGAAAGTAGGGTGATAGGCTGGCACAGGGCTGGCCATGCTGTGGAAGGAGGTAGTACGGCTGGCTAGGGCTTTAGGGAGGATGCAAGGCCAGGCCCAGCAGAAGATGGGCTTCATCTTGCAGAGCTCTAGGTGAGTGTTTATTCATTTTTTTCTTTTTTGTCTTTTTGAGACAGGGTCTCCCTGTAGCCCCAGCTGTCCTGAAACTCACTATGTAGACCAGGCTGGCCTTGAATTCACAGAGATCCGCCTGCCTCTGCCTCCCAAATGCTGGGATTAAAGGCGTGCACTACCACGCCCAACTTGTTTATTCATTTTTTAATTAATTTAAAAAATTTTTATTTTATGTGTATGCCTGTGTGTCTGTAAGTGCACCCGTGTCATCAGTGCCTGCAGAGGTCAGAAGGTGTAGGATCCCCTGGAACTGGAGTTACAGAAAATTGTTAGCCGTCATGTAGGTGCTGGGATTAGAACCTGGGTCCTCTGCAAGAGCAGCTAGTGCTCTTAATTGTTGGGCCATCTCTAGCTCCCATTTATTTTTAAAGAAATACAGAGACAGGGGCTGGAGAGATGGCCCAGTGGTTAAGAGCAGTGGCTGTTCTTGTAGAAGACCTGGGTTCAAATCCCAGTACCCACATAGCAGCTAACAATTGACTGTAATTCCAGTTCCAGGGGATGTGACAGCCTCTTCTGTCCTCTGCCAGCATTACACAACAGGGGTGCACTTACCAACATGCAGACAATACATACATACACATATAATTTTTTAAGAAGTAATAAAATTAGCTGGACGTGGTGGCACATGCCTTTAATCCCAGCACTTGAAAGGCAGAGGCAGGCGGATCTCTGTGAGTTCAAGGCCAGCCTGGTCTACATAGTGAGTTCCAGGACTGCTGGGGCTACAGGGAGACCCTGCCTCTAAAAGACAAAAAAAAAAAAAAAAAAAAAAGGGAAAAAAATTAAAAAAAAAAAAAAGAAACACAGAGACAGTTTTAGGAAATAAATATATTTAATAGAGACATTCCCAAGAATAGGAATGGGCTGTTGAGTTAGGGAAAATATACTCAAAAGCTTTTCTTAGACAGTCTGATGTAGCTTAGGATGGCTTCAAACTCACTATATAGCTAAGGCTTGACCTTGAATTTCTGCTTCTACCTCCTGAGTGCTGGGATCACACGTTACTACTACCATACCGTACTTTTTGTTGTTTAGGTTGAGAAACAGTCTCTGTATCCCAGGCTGTCCTGGAACTGATGGCAATCCTCCTGTCTCAGCTGGGATTACAGATGTGCACCACCATACCTGACTTGAATAATTTTTTAAAGATGTATTTATGTGTATATGTGTTTGTGTGTGGATGGATGCTGGCAGAGGGTACAGGAGGGCACTGGTTCTCCAGGAGTTACAGGTGCTTGTGAGCCATCGGATGTAGATGCTGGGAACTGAATTCCAGTCCTCTCCAGGAGCAGCAAATGCGCCTAATTGCTGAGCCATCTCTCTCCAGTCCTGGGAATAGTTTTAAAATAGCAGCTGCCCACCAGGCATGGTGCTATACAACTTTAATCCCAGAATTCTGTGAGATCAGGGCCAGCCTGGTCTACAGAGTGAGTTCCAGGGCACCTGTGGCTTCAGGGAGACCCTATCTCAAAAAGAAAAAAAAAAAAAGCAGTTGCCATTGACCAGTGCACTCTATACCCCAGGCCCCACTCATGATCTCAGTTCCTCCTTAGGTCACTTTCTAGAGGAGACCACTTTTCAGGGCAAGGTAATGGAGTCCTCATCAGGAGTCTGACCTCATAGTCATCCCTCCCCTTACCTCCTCCAGAGACACTGGGGCTGGATTCCACTTCTGTGGTACAGGGCACACAAGAGGCAGAAGCTGGAAGAGGTAAAGGACCTTGAACTTTGGGTGGCTCCAGGGTACTCTGGGCCATGGGCTGGCACACTGAAAGGCCCAGGCCAGCTGAGTCACAGCAACCCCCCCCCAATTGGGGTTGGCACCAGAGCCACCCACCCCACACCTGGACGTATGCCAATGAGGGCCAGCTATGCCATCTGTAGCCTGTGTGCTGCCAGCAAGGGCCTTCAGCCCAGCGCCCCCTACTGGTCAGGCTCCCCACACCCTCCTGACCCTCCCCACCCCCTTGAGGTTCTGGAGGTGCTGCAGTTTGCCCCGTGCTAGGGGTGAGGGTGCCCCCAGCTGCAACACCTCCCCCTACTCCCTGCTGGACACCCCCCTTTGGCAGAGCTGCCTGGAGAGATCACAGGCAGCCACATGAAAGGGAATTTTTTTCAGGCAGAGATGTAGTTGAAAGCTGCCTCCCCCGCCCCCTCCTGCCCCCGCCTGCCCCTGCTGTGCCAGGCCAGGCTGCTGAGCTCCTGCTCTAAGGGAGCCTGTGACACTGGGAAAGGGTTGGGGGTCAGAATTCCCCCTCCCTGCTTTCTCCTACCAGGAACAATAGCAGAGGCAGCCCATCTTCCCCACCTCACCACCCACTCAGCTTCAAAAGTTCCCACCTTCTTTTGTTCTGAAATCCCTCACCCACCTGAAGCCAGGCACCAATCTTGCCAGGAAGTCCTTCTTCAAGTCTAGTGTCCATCTCTGCCAGGCTCAAAGTGGCTGTGTGGGAAGAACATTTCTCCGGTGGTTGGCCAGGCTGTATCCTTTAGGTTGGCCTCTAGGATGTGTAGACAGGGTCATGCAACTGCCACTCCTTCCTTTTCAGACTGCCCTGGCCTAGACCTTGGGGCCATGTGGTGATTTCCCCCAAACACCTAGCTTCTGAGGGTCTAGACAATCTCATACCAACAAACCCTCTAGAGGTGGGAGCAGTCAAAGCACTTCTAGAACTCAGGCTAGCAACCTTCAGCTTCAAGAGGAATGGAAAGAGGGGTCTAAGTACAAGAAGCACAATCAAGTTCTAGAAACCTGGGATAAAACGGCTCCCTTTGGTGGCTGGGTGAGAATGAGATGGCTACCACTCAAGAAGAAAAAGGTTACATAACTCAAGCCTACCCCAATACCACAGGCTGCCTGGTGCTGGTCAGGCCTAAAGAGTCCAAGGGAGTATGACCCCAGGTGACACTCCCAGTGGTTCAGGTTCTGAGCTCAGTGGTACTCCAGCACCAGCCCTTCCATTTGAAGGTGGGTCCATCCTGTTTGCTGGCCAGCTGCTTCTGTTTTTATCCCACTCCCTCCCTGGGTCCAGAAAGCCTCTCCTTCCCCAGGACTTCCCCACTACCCCCACACTCTCAATGTCCCCAGGTCATCTTTCCTCCCTTTCAAGATATTCCCACACAAACCCCAGCCCAGCAACAGCTTCCAAGCCAGCCCCCCAAAACCCAAGAGCAAGAAGCCAGCAGTGCTTCGTGACACAAACATGCATTCGTTTTATTCACAAAACAGCCTGGTCTCCTAAAACAATACAAACAGCATGTTCATCAGCAGGAAGCTGGCCACGGGCAGGGGGCCCCTGGGCACCCACCCCTACGGGCAGGGGACCAGGCAGAGAAGCCTTTTCTTCTGTTACCATGAGCAAGGCTGAAAAAAAAGGACTGATTTTCTCTACGGGAAGTAGCCAGGATCAGAAATATTGAGATGAGGGCTCCCCAGATCTCAGTGAATCAACAAATAGAACTTTCATTTCTCCAAAATCATCACTGTTGGGGCAGGGATCCCAGTCTGGAGATGGTGGGTGTAACACGGGAAGGCCTGGGCCAGGGACTGCAAGGCCCCAGTGGGCTCTGGCCACAGCTCTGCACACGTGGATGGATACAGAGGGGCTTTTACATGGCGCCATCAACATTCTCTTTATAAACGTGAGTGGATTCTCCAGGCAAACTATGCACTATTTCATGGTCGGAAAGAATCAAAGGAAGTTTAAATGAAGGTGGAGTTAAACTGTGCTAAATTACAGTAGTGCTTATTAGTAACTAGATTTCAAAAGGTTACAGAAAATTTACATTCTCTACACAAAAACAGCATCTCCCGCACAGACAACATCGACATTGACACAGGAAGGAGACTGATTGTCCATTCTTTGCCCAGGAAGTCTCGGTACTTTATAGATTCATCTTTACCTCTTTTGTTGTTGCTGTTCTTCTGAAAAAGAAGTTAATTTTTTTCTTTTCCTTTTCTTTTTATACTAGGGATGTGGAGATGTTAAAACGACAACAACAAAAAAATATATATATATAAAAACAGGAATGAAATCTGTGAGAGAATATTTTTGGTTCTAAAGACGGGTGCATCCGTTTGTCTTCGCCCGAATCCCTTGCCGGAGACCACACGAGCGAGCAGTGACATTGCACGGAGAGGGCAGCTTTGGGTTCCCGCCGCCGTCACTGAAACCACCGGAAGGCAGCTCCCGTCGGAAGCATCACCTTCTGGCGGGGGCGGGAGACAAAAACAAGGAGAGAGTTCAGTCAGGGTCCGAGTGGGCCTGGTGCAAGACGCTCCCCGTGGCCGGCTCATGGCGGAGGGACAGGCATGGAGAAACGGGAAGTTATCCCACAGAGTTCCTGTTATCCTGGCCAGGCCAGGCAGGCCAAAGAAGGAGCCATGACCCGCTGGGCTACTGGAGGGCCCAGAGCACCCAGAGGCCTCCTGAGCCACTGTGCCCAGGAGCCCTCCTTCCAGACCCCTTTCCCTGGCCCAAAGGCACCAAGCACCAGGTGGCCGTGGTACACAAGGGGCCCACGGCTATGTCCTGTCAAGTGGGTGTGTGTACTGCTATGCCCATGGGTGGGTGTCAGCACTAGGGTTTAGACTGTATAGTGTGTATGGAGCTCTGATAGGGAGGTGGGTATCTGGGATTCAATAACCAGTCAAGTCTATGATGAGAGGATCCCTACTGGGCAGGTGTACACACAGTATCTACACTGTAGTGGGTGTCTTGATGATAGACAACAGACACATGAGGGGTGGGGTTTTGGTGAGGGGACGCAGCCAGGAGACCATGGCTCAGATATCATTGTTTTCCAACCATTATGGACACTTTTGTCAAGCCTACTCAGAGAGGGGCAGAGTCTAGGGGCACAAATGGTAAACTGAAAAGATGCTTTGTTTCCAGGCCTGGCACTCCAGCTACGTTGCCACATCCAGGAGCACAGGAGAAAACTCTGCTACAAGGGTGAAGAGAAGGCAGCACAGAAACCTCTGCTCTCTCCAAGTCAACCCCATGGATGAACAAGGCCTTTTGCAGGTACCTTAGGCTCATTGTTACTCATGAGCTGGGCATGTCCCGGGCCTCATGGCAGAACAGCCAGCACTGGAACTTCTCTATCTTGAGTGGTCTTGGGAGAAAGCCTGGGTTCTAGGAGGCAAGTGTTAGGCTTACCCTCAAGGCCCCAGGGTTGATAGGACAGAAGCCCTCAGATGAAACCCAGGATAGTTACCAGAATCTTAGGTCACAAACTAGATGCTTTAGGACATGTCAGATACTTGGTAACATATGTAGGAATACCTGACCCAGGCCCCAGGAAGGGCAACATAGTCTCAGGGTCTTGTTGGGAACGCCAGACCCCTATCTGGCAAATCGGCTTGGTGGGCATCTCAGGATATAGCTCTGAATTTTAAGGTAGGAAAAGGGTGCCTCGCAACCAGACCTCCAGGTCCTAAGACTTTCTGGGCATCCCCGACACTTGCCCAGTTAGGAAAGGTAGGCTCCAGGACTGGGGGATAGGTTTGGATTGCTGGACAGACGCAAGAGCCCGCACACCTCCCTCTACGGTGCCGTTACCTCCAGAGCAGTGGAAGGCTTCTTTTTGAGTTCCTCACACTTTCTGAATTTGCAAATCTGATGGCCAGTCTTTCGGTTCCTACAACTGCTGCACTGCTCGCAGTTGATGCGCCGCCGGCAGGGCGCACACATGCCGCAGCGTTTCCGTTTCTTCTTGCCTGAGCTGATGGCAGAAGCCAGCTCTCCCTGCATGGGGTACTCAGCTAGGCCAGCCATGTGCAGTGCACTCTCAGCCAGGAACACACCAGCCGGGGTCATGATGAAGAGGCCTGGGTTGATGGGGAACGCGCCCAGGTAGGGGAAGTCGGACTGACCATTGAGGGCTTCAGCCCCAGCCACAGCCTCCATGTCAGGCAAACCAGCACCTGCTTCACTCATCAGCGGCAGGTGCTCCTGCACCACACGCTTCAGCATCTCTGTGGACTGCGCAAACTGCTGCAGCGTCAGCTGTCCCTCGGCTGTCAGCTCCGTGGCCCGCTCTGCCTTGCTCAGCAGGCTGGCCACAGCACCACTTTTGTGCTTTGAGGTAGGGTTGCTTTTGTCCACTGCCATGGCCGCAGCCAGGTCGTGACCATTGGCCAACAAGGAGGCCGCAGCTGCAGCTGCAGCAGCCTTGTCAGCAGGTTCCCCCCCTATCATGCTGCCACTGCTGCCACTGCTCCCAAAGGAAGAGTAATGGGATAGTGGGCGGGAGCGACGCAAGCTCTTGTTGAGGGGTTCACTGATGATGCCACTCTTGTTCCGACGCTCGGGGGGTGGGGCATCATCTGCCACTGAGGCTGGTGTAGCAGCAGCCACTGCTGTACTTTTGTCTGTTGCTCCTGCCTTTGGGCCACTGCCACTGCTGCTATTGGTGTTGCTGCTGCCGCTACTGCCACTGGTGTCCTGGGAGCCACCGCCGAGGCTCGACATGGTGGGGCCGAGGCCCAGACCCCGCTGCTGGGGAATCTGCCAACTATTGGCTCACAGATGTGTACCTGGCTCTGCTGCCCACAACAGAGATGCCTGGTGGGCTTCGCTCAGGGTAGGCACATCATCAGGTGTCCAGGTCGGAAGCGTCTTTACTGTGGTGGGAAAAGAGGGAGCAAGGTCAGTAAACCCTTCTCCTTCAGTGTCACCACCCATGTTGCCATGGTGACAAGCCTGATGAGGCTTTTAAGTGTCAAGCCCATTTTGGTGAGGAATTTCGTATTTGTACCATCTTACTAGGCTCCTGGGAAGTGGTAGTTGGTAGTCCTCTATTTCAAAAACAAGGCTTATGAGAATTACTAGCCCATGGACACATGGCCTAAGAGGCTCGTGTCTGAGGCTCAGGGTAGGTGGCCCCAGCCCAAATCTCTCCTGAAGGTCTATAGGACCTAATGAAAGTGGGTGGTCTGTGCTTGGTAGGGTGGGAGAGCTCCAGATGTTTACTAACTTTGGAAGATTAACTACTTCGACTTTCTTATCTCCTCACCCATCTAAGGAGGGGAGTAAAGGTAAAATGCCTAGAAAGCAGGCTGCCCCTGGATGCTTGTTTGGAAATTTCTAATATACAGCAATTATTTCAAGGCTATGAAAAGTCCTGCAGGTAAAGGAATCAGTCTGCTTTGTTGAACCCAAAGTTGAATGAAGGAGTATGGAAGCCTCATTTCAAGGACCATCTACCCTCTGATACAAAGCAAGAAAGCATCACTTGGGCCTGAGGACAGGCCTTCTCCTGTGAGAGTGGGAGGACATGCATGTATGCATGGCAGCTCACATACACTTCCTCCTCTGCTCTCAAAACTACAGTCATTATCATCTGAGACCCTGCTCTGGTCCCTATGTGGGTTCCTGCCTTGGCTGGCTTCCAAATGGGGAGAAGCTTGCAGAGGGTTCACAAGGGCTGCAGAGTAGAGGCCCCAGTGAGAACCTAGAGTCTGTGGCCAAGCAAGAGGCTGTCTTCTGGCCACCTCCACAATTCTGAGGCCCAGGGCTCTTCCAGGGCCACAAGTAGGGCTTATGAATGGCCAGCTTTTGTCACAGGTCCAGATGGAGCGGGTAGCAGTTTCCTCATCTGTCCTGGCTCTCTAGCATCCCTTCTCCATAGGCCTGCTTCAGCCCAGCATCCCCCAGGAGAGGGGTGAGCACACTGGGCCCAGCCCAAGCAACTAGTAGTTCAATGTAGAGTTGCACATCTGGTGAACCGCACCCCGCCTTGGGCTCAAGGGTGGGAACACATGAAATCTTTGTCCCTAGACAACCCCATCACACCCACCAGGCTGTCCTGGACACTGAGCCTCTACCGGATCATCTAGTCCTCTCCTCTGCATTTACAGGGGGGGAAACAGTGCCTGGAGCACACAGGACCTTCTGCCCCATAACTGCCAATGAGTGACCACAAAGAGCAGCGAGTGTGGGCAAGTAAAAAGCTCCAGGGGGCAGCTGACAGCATCACTCCGCAGCCTCCTCAGCTCCCCAGTAGACACAGGCCCACACATGGCTCCTAGTAGGAAGAAGAACTAAGCATGTTGGAAATGGGATCAGAGATCAGGGGTGATTTAAGAGGTAGGGAATCATTCTGCCTGAGGACTCCGCAGTCTCACCTCCAAGGGCCCAGACCAGATCAGCTTTCCAGACCCTCTCTTCAGACAGATACCAACTGACCCCTTGTGGCATCGGTCTCCCAGGGGAGGAAGGCCACAAAACACCAAGTCATCTCTTCTGGCTCCTACTCATTGAGTTCAACTGCCCTGCCCTAGGCCACAACTCAGCAGCCACAGCTCCAAGGGAAGGGGAGAAAGTAGGGGTCTGTGAGCTGGAGCGACAGGAGCAAAGACCCATGTGTCCCCTGCCTCTAAGGCCTGCTGGATGGTGGCAGAAATCGATAGCCGCATTAACGCTGCTCTTGCTCGCTTGAGCTCTCCCTCCCTCCTTCAGCTCCAGGATCTGGCTCTGCATGCAGGGCAGGCAGGTCAATTAGAAGTCAGCTCTCTCCAACAGTAAGCAGTGCAGTTCAGGGCTGGTGCTTACTTCCTCAGGCTGAGCCTCTGCTTTTGTCTCCATCTCCAATCTCTATGAATTGGAAACATGCCTTGTGTTCTATTCATCTCTGGTCCCCTCCTGGAATTTTTCTGATCCCTCACTTTTTGGTTCTTCCTAAGGACCACCTGCTCCTAGCCCTCCAGGTCCTGAGACACATTGAGCTTCGGATAGAGGATAGAGAACGTGATATGTCACTGAACAGGTGCTGCAGGCAGAACACTGTGGTTTGTCAGTCCTGGAAGCTGAAAGTGGGGGAGGATACATGGGGGATTGGCTACAGGGGCAACCATCCTCAAACCCAGACAGCAGATAAGCACAACTAGTCTTCACAGCCTAGGCCAGGCCCTAGGCCTCTTCCAAATCTGCTTTTGTGCCTGTCTCATTTCCTTCAGACCTTGGGAAAGGTTGATGCCCTTCCTGGCCCAAAGGATCCCTTGACCACAGGCCGTTTACCCTACTCACAGAAAGGAAAAACACAGAGGTGACATTCTCCTAGGCTCCATCCTTCTACTTCAGGGCACACAGCAACCCTTCCTAGGCCAGGAAGGACCTGGCAATGCCCAGGCAGCAGGGGAAGAGCCAGGGCTGCGTTGAAGCAGAGCGGGAATGAGCGGGAGGGAAAGCTGGCGGGCAGGCGGGCGGCGGCGGGCGCATCCATCATCGGCCCTGCCAGGAACGCATCCAGCCCCCAAAAAGAAATACTGCGCCTGAGAAGGGACAACAAAGGGCTCCGTTTCATCAGCAATGCGGAGCCAGTGCCCCGCCGCCCCGCCAGCCATGGTCAGCCCACAAAGGACCCCTTTGTCCATGCAGGAGCCAAGCAGCCGGGAGCTGGGACCAGGGCCTGACGGGCGGGGACAGAGCCCAGGGGTGAAGGAACTAGTCACAGTGTACTGGGGGTGGGGGGACATGGACATACACACATACACATACACATACACATACACACACACACACACACACACACACACGACAGAGGGGTACATGGGGGCGGAGGACGAGAGACAGGTGGGAGAGGACAGAGAATGGTGATATAGAACTCAGGAATGGGGCAGAGAAAACAGAGCCAAGGTTAGAGGTCACAGGGTACCAAAAGGGACCAGGGATCAGAGTGATGGGACCAAGAGAAAGTTGGACATGCCCACAGGAGGAGCCTAAGAGTGAGAAACAGGAACACCTGATGAGACCATGTCTAGTACAAGCCTGGGGAGAAGAGATGGGGAGGAGGGCTGGAGGCAGTTCTTGCCCCAGCCCCTGGCCACAGAAGCCAGACCCTTCAGTGGTTGAGTCCTTGGCTGAGTTGGAAAGAGAGAGAAGGTCAAAGATGTGACCACCTGCTAGTAGTGGGGTTACTCCCTGCACTAACCCCAGAAGGCAGAGACAGACCCTACCCTCTTCAACCTAGAATCAAGGCTAACATTTAACTAAGGACTCCTATCGGCTCACATTTATTGAGCACCTAGTGTGCTGTGGTATTCTTATTTCTTTTTTTTAATTTTTTGAGACAGGGTCTCCCTGGAGCCCCAGCTTTCCTGGAACTCACTATGTAGACCAGGCTGGCCTTGAACTCACAGACATCTGCCTGCCTCTGCCTTTCAAGTGCTGGGATTAAAGGCATGTGCCACCATGGCCGGTGGTATTCTTATTTTTACATATTGAGACAGTATGCAAGAAACGGGAGCTACTTTTTTGTTGTTGTTTGTTTTTTTTTGTCTTTTGAGACTGGGTATTCCTGCAGCCCAGTTGGCCTGGAACGTACTATGTAGACCAGGCTGACCTCTATCTCACAGAGATCCACCTGTCTCTGCTGGGATTAAAGGCATGTATCACCACGCCCAGCTAAGAAACAGAAACCTTTAACCAATTTCAGAGATGAAACTGAGGCTCGCAGAAGTTCAAGCTGTCAGCCCAATGTCAGTAGCTAGTGCCTAGCAGCGGCAGAACTTGAACCCAGAGCTTAAATATTAGTCACCCTGATCTATGACTGCCTTTGTTCTACCATGCCTGTCACCTCTCCATGGTGGTGGTGGTGGGGATATGAGCTGTCATAGCCCCCCAGGGGAGTGCCCTCACCTTAAGACTTGGAGATACACATGCAGGAACCCAGGATGCTGGGCCAGTGACATCATAATGCCAGCTGGCAAAGAGGTCACCGGAGGCAGTAGCATTGTCCTTACTTCCACTCTCAGCCCCAGAAGAGCCTGAGTTTGCCTCTAGCAGGCTCCATCCCGAACCTTGCAGGCCAGACAACCTGGGGAGGAGGTTACATCCCAGGAGGAGCGGATGCTGAGTGGACATAGGAGGTCCTCAGCTGGACTTTCTGAATGTTTGCTGTACCTCCTTTCCTACTTAGGCCCCCTTGGCGGGCAGTGGAGGACACCGACCCTGCTTCCAGGACTAATATTGGAGCTGGGTTGGTGGCCATAGTAGCCAGGATGAATTGTGACCTGGAAAGGAACCAAGTGAGGCAAGGGCACTTTCCTGGAGGAAGGGAATGCCAGGCTAGGAGCTAAGGATAGATAGAAGTTACCAGAGGAAGCTGGGCATGGTGATGCACACCTTTAATCCCAGTACTCAGGAGGCAGAGGCAGTAGGCCAGCCTGGTCTCCATAGCGAATCCAGGTCAGCTGTAACTACAGGGAGACCGGCTCACCCAACCCCCGCCCCCCCAAAGTTACCAGAGGGTACAGAGGTGAAAGCCTTAGGGAGAACTGTGAAAAGTGGGTACAAGACAAGGTATGGCCATGAGTGTGGCAGGGTCCCAATTGGGCAGAGCCTTGAGCTCAAGAGCAGGATTTTCAGGGTATAATTTTATTATTTTTTGGGGTAGAAGGGGATTTGAGATAGGCTCCTGTTATAATATAGCCCAGGTTGGCTTCCAATGCTCAACAATCTTCTTACCTGAGCTTCCTGAATGCTGGGATTACAGGTGTGAGCCACCATACCTGCTACTAATTCAATGATTCAGAATTATGCAAACATCATCTTGCCCAAGGCCACGGTTTGCCCAAGGCACCATCCCTCTTCTGTGCTGGCTAGAAGGGCCTTTCAGGCCTGT